AAAAAAAAAAAAAAAAAAAAAAGAGGACACTTAGGCTGACTACATGCCCACCAGAATCCATCACTCCCTGATGCCCAGCCTCAGTTGCCCTACCCTCATGGGTCAGGGACTTCCAAAAGGTGCCGACTGTCTACACTGTCGCTAGTGAGTATTCAGCATGGCCCCAACATGGACTCCACCCTAGCCAGTGAGTGCTCAGTTAAAATTGTCAGGGCAAGGTACTCCCAGACTACCCCACAGCTTGAATGAGATACTCATATATAATTAGTGGATTGTGGGTAGACAAGACAAATGACCATCAGTCTTACTTCAGTGTGGGTGATTTTGGCTTGCTCATACCCTGGGGCCTTCTACACTAACACTCCTGGAGACTCCACAGAGAACTGTGGGTTGTCCAGGACAGCTGGGTGCTGTGCTATGTCACACCTACATACCTAGGCATGGGGCCCGAGTGGCCTAGAATTTACTGTCTTGGGTTATGGCATGCTTCAGGGAGGGGGACTTACCTGGTGTCCACGAGGCCCTGGGTTTGAACCTAGCACAGGAAGAAAGGAGAAAAAGAGAAAAGAACTAGATGGGGGGAAAGCTCATGGCTTCACAGACATGAAAGCCGGAAGTCCAGGTGTGAAGTGGGTAGGGCTGGGGCCCTCTGCCCGTACCACAGAGGATCCATCCTAGGCCTCAGGCCTGACTCCACGCTGGCAGAATCACAGCAGTCCTCGTGAAACGTTCTTCCTGTGTTCGTCTGTCCAAATTCCCCCCTTTTCCATTTCTTTTCAAACCTGGATAAATTTTTACTGTGCCTCTTAGTTTACAACATGAGGGGGTAGGAAAGACAGTTCTACTCTTCGCAGCATTTTGCACAGATGTAGGGAAGTGCTTCCAGCTCCGGGGACTTAGAAGGATTTCTTTCCCGGAAGTTGGAGCAAGTAAACCGGTGTTGACCCCTTGGGTTTTCCACGGGCTCTTCCCTCATAACAACAACAAGCTCTAATTAGTCATGCAGGTCTCGGGGCTAATTTTACCACTACTTCTGGTATTGTAGATCTGAAGCCCTGCTGTGTTCATCAGCAGTCACTAATTCCACTTCAGAGTGGGTTGCACTGGTGGAATCTTGGCATCAAGCCACCCTCTCCCTCTCTCCAAAGCCCATCTGGCTCACGCTGCAGCCTTTTCCCTGCTCACAGCCATGCTGACGTCTCGTGTCCTCTGATAAGTTTGCCTGCTCCAACCTAAGGACAGGGACTTGGTGTCTTTGAACTTGTTTGGACATTGGTATCAATGGCAGCCATATCCTGCTGCATTCCTGTATAAGTAGTGAACATTTCCCTCTGGGGGACGGTCGGTTTTATCTCCCTTTTTCAGATATTTTATGCATCTGATGGACCCTTCCTTTTTCTTTTGGTTTATCTTCATCAAGCACCTTATTTTTCATTTGCTGAACACTAACGCTTTGTGTATACTTAAAACGCTTACTTTAGAAAATTGTTTATAGGCTGCAATCACATGGCTCTTACTAGTGTTCTTGGCTACATTGTAGTGATTCCTAATAACTTACGCTTTGCGAGAAATGGATCTCAGTTTTGGTACTGCAAAACTTGGCAATGTTCTTCTCAGCAGCTGCTCCACAGCCTACAGCCACTGAAGAACTGCTGCTGTCTCCCAGCTGCCTGCTCTACTCCAGGTTGCCCTTTTAAAAAGGATACTAATCTTGTTGGGCTGAGGCCCTCCATAGTCCAGTAAAACAAACCTCTTTGCAATGAGTGACATTTGCAAAGACCTTCTTTCCATGTCGGGCCATACTCTGAAGGACGGGGCTTTGGAAGTCAACCCATGTGTTTAAGGATAAGCATCCCTGCTGTAACTCTGACATCATGATCTACTCATTGACATTCCACCTCTCCATCTGGCCACACAGCCTGCAGCAGAAAGGCCCTAACCCTAACTCTGTCTCCCTACAAAACACACACACACACACACACACACACACACACACACACACACAAAGTACTAGCAATAAGCCCACCTGCTCCCCTAAGTCCCCCCAATCAGAGAGTTAACCCAAAAGTATTACACATTGAATTAGACATTCCACAAGCTGGGAATGTGGGATGACATGGAGGGCACCCTCCACTCCCCAGAGTATAGACCACAGGACTATAACTGGGACCTCTCAGAGGAAATGGACGCCCTTCGCTGTGACACCAGTTTCTGCAGCTTCAGACCCAGGGTGGTATGAAAACCAGTCTCACAGAAGGGACTTCTACACATCAGTGATATGGGAAAGGGTTCTGTCTTAGTTAGGGCTTCTATTGCTGTGAAGAGACACCATGACCACAACAACTCTTGTGTTAAAGGAAAACATTTAATTAAAGTGGTGACTTACAGTTTTAGAGGTTTAGTCCATTATCATCCTGGTGTGACATGGTGGCGTGCGGGCAGGCATGGCTGGAACTGAGAGTCCTCCATCTTGAACGGCAGGCAATAGGAAGTGAACTAAGACACTGGGCGTGGCTTGAGCATATATGAGACCTCAAAGCCCGCCTCCACAGCCATACACTTCCTCCAACAAGGCCACACCTACTCCAACAAAGCCACACCTCCTAATAGTGCCATTCCTTTGGCACCCACTCCCATTTTCTTTGAGACCATCACAGGTTCCATTCACTGGTGTCCTTTCTTCTTTCTTCTTTCCTTTCTTTTTTTTTTTTTCTTTTTTTTTCTTTTTTTTTTTTGGTTTGGTTTTTCTAGATAGGGTTTCTCTGTGTAGCTTTGCACCTTTCCTGGATCTCACTTTGTAGACCAGGCTGGTCTAGAACTCACAGAGA